CCTCTCCAACGATGTTTATGCAGCGCCCAAATGAATTATTAACCGAAGTCCCAGACAGATGTCGTCGTCTTTACTTTTCAAAGTGGCATTATATGCGCAGAGAATAAATGTAAATGTTGAATGTCTCGGCTCTGCTCGCTTTCTCTCTCTCTCTCTTCCCTCCCAAACACAGGCAGTCACACACACGCACACACACAGGGTGCGTGGCGGGGGCAAGCCGCGCCACTCCCTTCCAAACTTTAGGGTGGGCGCGGCGCGGCGCGCGTCCCCAGGCGTCTGCTGCTGCTGTTGCCGCTGCCGCTGCTGCGCTAAACTTGCTTGCTGCTTCCACGTTTTGCTTCGCAAAGCAGGCAAAGTGTCATCATTACAAGCGCCGTGTTTTTGCTGCCGACGCCACCTCCACACGTGTTGCAACGACATGTTATCCGTACACTTGCTCTCTCTCTCGCTCGCTCGCTCGCTCTCTCTCTCTCTCTCTCTCTCTCTCTCTCTCTTTCTCTCTCTCTCTCTCTCGCTCGCTCGCTCTCTCTCTCTGGCCGGCACGAGTGCGAGTGAGCGGTGAGGAGCTAGGAGCTCTCGCTGTATATATATTCGCGAGAGAGCCCGCTGCCGGCGCTGCCCCCCGGCCCCGGCCCGGCTGAGGCCCCGCAGCGCGCCGGGCGGGTAGGCAGGCCCGGCGGGCTGACGAGCGCGGCGGGACTGCATATGTACCAGGGGCTCTCGGGCAAACACCGCTGCTCCGCGCTCAGCGCGCTCTCCCCGTCTCTCCCCCCCTCCCCCGCCTCCTTTCGCAGTCTGTCCTATCAGCCCGGCCTCCCTGGGGGCACCAGGCAGGCCGCTCCAGCCCCGCACCGCCCTGCACCCGCGCAGCGAAGGCCACGCGGAGCTGCACTCGGGCAGTGTGTCCTTCCTCCCGACCTCCACATACCGAGCGGCAGGTCCCCGCCCGCCCGTCCTGTGCGGAGTAAAGTGTTTGGCGCGCTTCCTTCAAGCGGCAAAAAAAAAAAAGAGAGAAAGAGAAAAAATTCGCAGACCCCCCCGAGCAGAAGCGTTCGGTATTCGCGTAGGTTACGGTGTTGCGGCGTTCGTGCTCGAGACTCGCCGGGACCCAAACCGCAGCCCCGCCACACCGCGCCGCGCCCGCCGAGCCCCACTCGAGCAGGAGGAGCACCGACAGCACCGAGGCAAAAGCTTGCGGGGAGGCGAGTTGGAATCCACCGTGAAAATTGGCTGCCGCTGAGCCCAGTCGACTGTTGTAAAGAAAAAGGGGAGGAGGAGGAGGAGAAGGGTTGGGATAGAGGGGGGGTCGGAATGGAGTCGAAAGGACGAGAAGCCAGGCAGCCATGCTGTCCCAGCAGGGCATGTGCCTGCTGGGGCTGGGTGGGGGTGGGGGTCATGGAGAGAGCCAACCTGCACGTAGTGCACGCAGCTCTCACTTTGCAGTTGCCGCTTTTCTTTTCATCACGGACCGATTTCATCCCGCAACCCGCTGTGAAACTCGTTGAACTCGAAGCGGTGGGGTGCAGAGAGAGAGAGAGAGAGAGAGAGAGGGAGGGAGAGAGAGAGGTTAGTTGGAGTGACGGTTGAGCGGTCCAGCTCCAGCAGCCTGTTGTTTGTTTATTGCCCGAACAACAAGTATGCCGAACCACCCACCGCCCGAGTGCGTGCAGCTTTTCCTCGTCCACGACAAACAAACCGCAAAGCCCACACAATTTTTGCCGCAACCTAAAAGAAAAAATAAAATATCCAGCGCCACGTCCCCGTCCCCTACATAAAGTGAGCGGCGTTGCAAGCAGGCGCTCTCCAGGAGGCACCACATCAAATCGACACGGGGCTGCGCGGCGGAGCCTCGCTACAGTGACGCACGGCGGCGCAGCCCGGCGGAGCCAGCGCCTCATTTCCTGAGAGAGCGGCCGTGCCAGGGCGCTCGCACAATGTGTACCGCGGCCTGCACATCTCACTCCGACGCCTTCGCACCGTATACTTCATCTCCTCTTTATTTCGCGCGTCGCGTTCTCGATCCCTCCTGCTCTATGATCATCGCGCCCCATTTATTATTCGCGGAGAGGCGACGAGTGCATTTCCAAAAAGGAATACCGTCGTCGGCTCGGTCGTCGGGCAGCATCAAAATCTAGTTTTCTAAAAATATAGTTTTAGAACAGTCTTATCACACAAAAATGCAATCCATTTTCAGTTGCACACTTACAAATAAAAGTCTTCGAAACAACTGCTCGTACGCGCAACAATAAAAGTGCCGTTTCATTGCGATCTGCTTGACCTTAGTTCAATGTTATGTTATTTATCAACAAACAACAAATATTCTGTGTGCACCTCAGTTTATCAACAAACAACAAATATTCTGTGTGCACTTCAGTTTATTAACAAACAACAAATGTTCTGTGTGCACCTCAGAGGTCCGCGCGACAGCACCCCCTCACCTCAACAACTGATCCAAAAATGAGGGTGGTGGGTTCCTTTTGAATGGAAATAGACTGACTCAAACTGCTGCTCCCTCCTGCTCCTCCTCCGCCTCATCAAAACTCACCGTGCGAAACAGCGGCGGAGACAGAGCCGCGAGTTGAGTAACGACCGGCTAACGCCCCCCCCCCCTTTCCCC